CTACATTGCAACAAGTAGTTATAGATCTGATATTATGAATAATCTCTTGAGTAAGAAGAATAATCTCAGAAATTTTTCTACCCTTGACAAAGCCAGATTGATTTTCCGAAATGATCATCGGCAAAATGCAATTGAGTCTCAAAGCTAAAATTTTGGATAAAATCTTATTAGAGAAATTGCTAAGACTTATAGGTCGAAGTTTGGAAAAACAATCAAGAGAAGTAACTAAAGTTAAACATGAATGAGTAAAGAATTTAGTGAGCTCGGCACCTTGAAAGAAAGAGATCACAAAAGATACTACTTCAGCCTTGATGATGTCCCAACAAAACTGAAAGAAATGACCATTGAATTCGTCTGCCCCAACACAACTGTTTGGGTCTATAGCCATTTTGATTTCTTCTTCTGTTGGGGGTTTTATTCACGTTTTCATTATCATCTGCATTAATAAGGTTATCGCAGTCTCTGATAAAATCCAAGTTAATATTCTTGGTTTGTCCAGTGAACATATGACTGAAATACTGTATGGCAGCCTCAAAGATTTTATGGTTTCCTTCGACCCATTGTCCTTGCTTATCCTTGATTTTGTAAATTTTAGCTTTCCCTGATAGTACTGTGAAAGTACTTGGTATTGGAATCTCCATCCGTCGCCCATTTGAGTCTAGCGTTTTGTCTGAGAATAGAATCTTCCGTTTTCAACCATCTGATGTATTCAGCCTTAGATCTATTGGGATTTTTTCTGTCAGCCTCAACGTATAAAAGTAGGTATGAAGTTTCACAAGTACTTGTCACTTCATGTACTAGCTTTTTAACTCGTTGGAACACATCTCCAATACATTCTCTGGACCACTTACTAAGCTCCGTAGCTAATGTTTTAAGTTTTTTATGCAATCTCCACATTGGATTACCTTGCACTACATCTTCCCAAACTGTTTTGACCTTGAGGAGAAAGTCCTCTTGATCAGTCCAGAAGTTGAGAAATCTGAAATATTTGATAACCTGTTGATCATCATTAGAGCAACTAACCAACAATAGATTATGATCAGATCTTGTTTGGAGAGGTGTTCCACTTTAATGTTGGAGAATTTATTAGACCATTCCTCATTGTGAAGGAATCTGTCCAGCCTCATATGAATCTTGTTTGTACCTCCTCTGCCATTACACCAAGTGTGTATATTGCCTACAAAACCAGAGTCAGTCATACCACAATCATCCATACAATTAATAAAATCAATACAAGTACTTAATCTAAACGGAATACCCCTTTTTTTCTCTTCAACGTCCATCATTATGGAGTTGAAGTCACCACCAATGACCCATGGGCCATCAATGATCGAATCTAAATCCCTGAGTTTTTGCCATAAATAGCTCCTCTTATTAGCCTTGGATCTTGCATAAACTATGGTAGTTCAGAGAGAATCACTGCTACCTTGCATACAAACCTGTAAAGTAATCTGTTGTCTAGATTTGGAAATCACAGAACAAATCAAATTTGAATTCCAAAAAAATCTAGACTTTACAGTGTGAATTAGAGATAAAACCAAGCCTTCTTCGATACTTGTCAATTTTGTTACTATTCAAGAATGGTTCCTGACTTCCTGTAAGGCAACATAATCAACTTTATATAATCTGACTAATTGAATCAGTCTATCAGTAGCGCCTTTGGAGGTCATCCCCTTTATATTCTATATAATAAATTTAATCATAAGGAATTTTTGGGGGGTGTTACAACCATTTTTTCCGTTTGTTTGGCTTCAATGACAGCATGATTACTTTCCCTTTTAGCCTATGTACCTTTGTGGTGTTTGTCACCTCTTGGAGACAAGCCTTGTTGTTGGATAACTTGTTCAAGTTCCTGATTGAATGGGTCTTTGATGTCTTTAGGAATAGGGGCAAACACTCCAGAAATGCTATCCACAAACTGTTCTTTTTCCACTTTCGATGCATCAAGAAAGCTATCAGGATCTTCGTCATCAGATGATAGTCATAACAATATTCTTGATCGGAGGTCTACAAACAATTGTCCCTCCATTTTTTGCAAACAAGTAGTGTCTGCAGTTAAAAGGTATTGTCCAGTATAATTTCCTTTGGAACTACTCTCTTGACAGGTAGTAATGTTATCAACAACGACCATCTGGTTAACTTCAATGTTATCTTGGCAATGCTCTTGTTGGTTGTCTTGTTCAACTATATTCTCAATTTGTCCTTGAGTTTTGTCAATTGACTCCTTTGTAGTGCCTTGTTTTGGTTTCCATTTTACCCAAAGCATATTTTTAAGGAAGACAGCCGGGGACATTTTCTTTTTCTAGCCCTTAACACCCACACTCTTATTTCCCTGCTCAAAGTCCTTCTGTTGTCGTATTTCTGATTGATCTTGCTGATGTTTTTCAACTTGTTGGGATTGTGTGCCCTGTTCTGTTTGTAACTGTTTTTGCTTGGCACTACCTTGTTGGACCTTTTCTTTCTTGTTGGTATGAATTTCTTTGTTTTGTACTTGTTTGTTCTTAGTATTCAGGTCATTTGAATGAGCAGTAGTACAATTGGTTGGTTTGTTCGCAACCTTCTTATTCTTCTTCCCGGTGTCTTGAATAAATCCATCGCCATCCTCATCTTTTTGTTTGTTTTGGACAGCTTTTGATGTGCTGGGAACATCATTTTGTATCATAGGTGTTTGTCCACCTTTGCCATTATTCCTCTGCCCACCTTTCATAACTTGTTTCTGCATATTTTGCATTTCATTCTTGTTTTGATTGCTATTTTCATCACTTTTCTCTAACTAATTTTCTTCCAAAGCTTTGGCTTTTTTCTTGGCTTCCGTTTTACATTTTGTGTGATCATGCCCTTGTAGCCTACAGGTTTTGCAAAATGCTGGAACTCCTTCATATTCTAATTTTTTATTTTAACCTTTCAAGACAGCCTCTTTTCCTTCCAAGCCAATCCAGACAGCATTTGGCAATGGTTTTATTAAAATCAACCTCAATTCTTACCTTGGCTAAATTAGGCCTTGATCTTACAATAGTAGCCATATCCTCCTTCAATGGAGTTCCAACTTGAGCTAAGATTTGATCAAGGTAGTCCCAGTTAAACAATTGATATTTTAACTCAGGCAACAATACCCAAATCGGGGCTAAAAATGTTTTTAATATCATGAATATCATGTTAAAGTGTGTTACTATATTATCTTAAAGTTTACGTTGTTAGAGAAATCACACTTTATTATTTAATTATATAAATACAATACTCCCCAGACAATAGCTGGTCGATAAGAAAAAGAGCAACTTTCACATATAGCACACATAAAAATCAAATTTGTATGATATAGCTATAGTTTGCATAATTGCGCTCCATAGCAAACTTTATCTTTGCTATGGCTATTAATATGTATATTTCGCTATACATATATAAAATAAACAATTATATAATCTATTTCGGTATACATATACAAAAGAATCAATTTTATAATATGTGTTTGTATAAAGCGAGAAAGAGAGAGACAAAAGAAAACTGGGTAGGGAAAGATCTGTATTTGTATAATCATAAGTGCATAGGACGAAAATGTATGTATTTGTATTTGTATATACAATTTTCTCTCGCTTTATACAAACACAAACACAATTTATACATTTGTGTTTGTATAAAGTGAGAGAGTCGAGTGAGAGTGGCGAGCGAGATCTTGAGAGGAGAGAGAGGAGAACGAAAAGATATGTATATACACAATTTTCTCTCGCTTTATACAAACTCAAATACATTTTATACATTTGTGTTTGTATAAAGTGAGAGAGATGAGGAGAGATTGCCCAACGAGAGTGGCGAGCGAGAAATTCAGGGAGAGAGACGAAATGACAACAGTTTGCTACGGGTTACAATTAAATCAAACTGTGGTTATAGCATTTAATTTGAATTAATAGTTTGCTATTTTATACAATTTTCCCTAAGAAAAATAGAGTTTATGGCCAAATTTGGGTTAATCGTAATTAATAATTTGTCCCATTTTTTTAACTCTGAGCTGGCAAATTAGGTACTAGTTTTTTCATAAATATATGAATGTTATATTTATTTAACATTAATTGAAACATGATTACAATCGAATATTCTTTATAATATAATCACAACTTCAATTTAATTCTTGTGATAGTATACAAATAAATTTAATTTATCTAATTTTTTAATAGGCAATTGGTAGGTTTTTGTAAACCAGAAACTCTTCCTCTGGCATTAACGCATGAAGCTTCAGTTTGCTGATCTTGGTAACTAAGATTCAGATTTTCAAGTATTAGGCCGCTACATGGATTAGTTATGCTACAATCAAGTTTCACTGTAATTTTTGTTGTCGATGTTCCATGTATATCTTGATAAGTTACCTCACTTATCTTTATGTCCGATCTCTATAAAAAAAAAAGAATAATATAATTAGATTAAGATAAGGGAACATGATCTAATGTTTTTATTATTGTATTGATAAATTAATTAACTTGTTCAATTAATACCTGCTGAGGACAACTCACATCATGATTAGGGCAGTAATTTTGATCTATGATAATTGGGTTTTTAACATTAACCATAACAATATGTTGAAACAGAATATTTCTAACAAAGCCATTGCTAGGCATTGCCCAAGTTTTGACTCTCACACCATTTGTTGTTCCACTGAAAGTCACAGTCTTAATTGTCACATTTTGGACTCCTAACTCTTGTTGTTTCCAGCCTAAGCTTCCAATGCTGCAACAACATCAAGTTTTCGACATACATTTTAGTTGAAAATATAAATCAATAAAAATGAAAGAAGTTGATTTTGTTTATAATAAATATAATATTTATGTTCCAAACCTTATTCCATGGCCAGGACCACATGCAATGCCTTAAATCCATAAGTTAGAAGTTCCAGGGAAAATAGAGATACAATCATCCCCAGTACTAAGTTGCGATTTCATAATAATACTAATTTCTGATAATAATTTTTCATGAATTTCATCAGTGTTTTTGCTATTTCCTTGAGCTAATACCTTCATTCCTTGTAGCTTCACGTTATGACATCCGTCTACCAATATTTGAAATTTTTGACTATTTTGTACCGTTACTCCACTCATTATATTGTTTAAATTGTAAAAGGTCTGCCTGCACCAATATTTAAGGTAAAATTAAAAAGAGATAGTTATGCTTGTTCGACATAAAACAAAAAGGAAACTGTAACCCATGATCGTTTGACATAAAATAAAAAGGAAAGTGTAACCCATGATCCACGTCTTCTTTCTTCATACGTGATGTAACTATTAGGAGGATAATATTATATTATATTATATTATATTATATTATATTATTGCCACCAAATATAATATAACGATAATTATATTATTGTCGCTAAATAATTGCAGTAAAATCTTTTATTTGTTATAGTAAATTCAAGTTTTCGAGCTCAATCTTAAGCGAGTTTCAATATTGTTTTCAAACGAAATTGTGTCATATTCAATTTCAAATTAGAAGTGTGCAAAAACCGAACCGATAAACCAAATCGAAAAAATGTTATTGATTTATTGTTATTGGGTTAACGATTTTTTAATGGTTTTATGACCAAAAAAAATCGGGTTATAGGTTCGGTATTAATTTTTAATATTGGGTTATTAGGTAAACCGATAACGCTATAGTAATTTACTACTTTTACCTATATATAAATATTAATCTCAATATCTTACTAGTTATATCTGTTGTTGACACCCAATTTTGACCCTCCATAATATAAATTAATCATCGAGCTTCTTAAATTCCAAACTATTTGAAATAATTGACTTTATAGAATTCAAAATATTTTCCAAGTCATTTTAAGTAATTTTATCATTTTTGTAAAGCTTATATAATTTCGTATATATTGAGTATATTTTATTAATATTTAAAAATCATCTAAAAAAGATTTTAGTTTTACTTAAATACTTGGTTAATTAGTTTAGCTAATTTATAGTATATATTTTTGAGTTAATTAGTTTACAATTAAATTAATTATTTTATTTTTGTTAAGATTAAGAAGCTTGTTAATTAATTATATTAATTCATTTTATTTTAATTTTTGCCTATTTCAACCAATAGTCTCAATTTGATCGAATTTGCAATTCACATGATTATTTTCTTAAGTTAAATAGACCACATTCTTGAATTACTTTTCAAAACCCATTTCCATCCAATTTCCAGACCCAAATCTGAGCCCAATTCTTTTTAGGAAAAATTACAGAAATCCCACATTTTAATTTACTTATTACCATTATCCCCTATAAGTTTTACAAATCTTCAAAATCCCTCATTTTCGCGCATCAGATTAATGTATCAGCGCTTATATTATTGTATCTCGCACATCAGATTAATGTATCAGCGCTTATATTATTGTATCTCGTGCATCAGATTAATGTATCAGAGCTATATAAGTGCTATACATGCGCGAGATACAATAATATAATCGCTGATATATTAATCTGATGCGCGAGATACAATAATATAAGCGTTGATACATTAATCTGATGCGCGAGATACAATAATATAAGCGTTGATACACTAATATGATGTGCGAAAATGAGGGATTTCTGTAATTATAAACTTTTAAGGGATAAATTGTAATTTTGCCTTAAAAGTATGTGATTTTTGTAATTTGCCCTTCTTTTTAATACCAAGCCTAAAACCCTTCCATACAATCAGCCCATCCAATAACAACACCAAAAACCCAATTCCTTTTCCAACAAAACCAGTAACAATACAACGCAGCAAACCCGACCGCCCCTGCATTCATCATCTTCACGCGCGTCTTCTTCCTCATCGAAAATCGCGGAGAACCCGAAAATCTCATCCAACTACCCTACAGAACCCTAACCTAGTAGCCTAATTGATCACATCGCTGTCCCTTTTCCCCATTTTCAAAGATTTTCAAAATCTCTTCCATTGTTTGATTTTGAAAAAAAAAAAAAAAAATTCAAAGGATTTTGAATTTTTTTTTCTTTCAACGGATTTCCCCCCTAAAATCGCCTCAACTTTCCCTATAAATAATCCTCTACCCTCAGTGATTAGGTAGGTTTTTTCGGAGATTGGATTTTATAGTGTAATAGTATTCTGTAATTAGAGTTTCTGGGGTTGCTATTTTGGAACTCGAAATTCCTCATGTGGTGGTCGAATAGCTCATTCAAGCTCGCCTAATCTCAGTTCGCTGCTCCAAAGAAGGTGACTTCCTCTCTTCTCCTATCTCATATTGGTCGATTTTACACTCAATGAATTATCTGTGTATTTGTTCTGTTTGAGTTCGGGTTAATCTGGCCATATGTGAAATACGGCAGAAGTGGCCATGAACATGTTTTCGTTTTGGACTTCCAGTCACTGATGCATTTTCTTACATATATTATTGATGACTTTGTTATATTAGTGTTATATATAATTTTATTCATTGTCTTTTGTGTCTTGTGTATGCTATTCCATATTCATGAAGGTATTCCATTCATCTTATATGTCTAGATCTATTTGGAAAGGGTCCTAACTTACATTTTGATTTAAATCTTCTAGACATGTTGTCTCCTTTAAAGTTATGTTTACTATTCGAATTCATATATTTCATGTCATAGTCTCTACATAATTTTGTTTCCCATTCACTCATCATTATTGGATTTTTAATTGGTAAGCTTTTTGTTACATTTTCATCACTGCTACTTTGGGATATTGGGTCATTGAAGTGTCATGCTACTATTATCACTATGTTTGCTATTACTACAACATATTTGGTGCTATATGTTTAGAGTTGTCAATTGATAGATCACTGCTTAAGTTCTTTAACTTTTTTTTCTCTTCGTTCTCATATATTGATTGAGCTGGACCAATTTTATATTTTTGATAAGAGTTGTGCCTTCAAGATGTGGGTCTTCTTGTGAATATGTATTTGAGATAACATGTCTCCTCGGAATTCCCCTACTACTGTTTTCTGAAACATCATATCAATTTGAGCATTTGAATGATTTTAGTCTTGTATTCTAGTTTGTTAGGCAGTAGGTGGATTATGCATTCTCATGGGTATATGTATTTACGAATAAGATTCTTTTATTTTGTTTTGCTAAGATATGATCCTGGTTAAGTCATGATTATTTCCTCGGTTCATTTTGCATCTTTTCTAATCCTTATTTTATTTTTATTTTTTCATGCGACACCAATCCGAGTCCATTTTGGACTCCTCCTTGCATATCATTGAGTTGGACTATTCTCGAGTCAGCCCCCTATATATTCGGAAGTTGTTACAGGTCCCAGAGACCCAACATGCTGCTGGAAATTAGTTCAAAAGCCAAGAAATGGGTTGTACGCATATTGTATACAACATTATACACTAATATACAGGTTCAGTGCAGTAAATATGTAACCAAAAATGAAGATGCAGGTTGGAGACGTCAAATTAGGTTGTATACATTTAGTATACAGTTCGTTATGCACGAAAAAAGGCCAAAATACAACCCATATGCACTGATATATGATCAGTGTATACACTGATTTTTGGACGCGAAAATGGGCTAAAGCCCATCCTTTTGCACAGCAGGTGGCCAACAGCACAGTTAACTCAATGGGCCAAAGCCCATTTTTGGCTAATAATAGATTTAGCACAGGTTGGGCCAAAGGCCCAAATTGGATTCTCTTCCTTTATCATTTATTTATGGACAAATTACTTAACTACACTCCTTTACTTACCTTAGTATCCATTTATCCCTACTTATTTCAAAAGTTTCAAAAATCCCTTATTTTACCTATGTATCCCGTGCACAACGCTATGTATCCCGCTATGTGAAATGTATCAAACGCTATGTATCCCGTGCACAACGCTATGTATCCCGCTATGTGGAATGTATCAAACCTAATGTATCCCGCTATGTGGAATGTATCAAACCTAATGTATCCCGTGCACAACGCTATGCATCCCGCAAACATCATTTTTAAGGGATTTTTGGTAAATAGAAAACTATAAGGGATAGGATGTTATTTAGTACTTATAATATGTGGTTCCTATAATTTATACTTTATTTATTTGCATTAACTCTCTAACCTTTTAGTTGTTTCGATTTAATTTAATTAAATTCCCCAAAAGATGAACCATATTCTTTATGTTAGTTTATTTTAATATAATTCATTTTTATCAACTCTTATACTTATTCAAATATTTTTAGTCAAAACTTTCAGTTATCTTTAATTAGATTAAAATGTTTTCTTGGTTTATCTACCAAGTTGGTTGGAATTATTATTTCTAAAAATGATGTACATAAATTCTAATTAATCTATTTTGTTAAAATCCTAATTGACCAAGTTGTTTCAATTAAGGTCTCATTTTCTTAAAAATTAAAAATTGTTCTTTATTTAACTATTTTATCAAAATTAATCGAATATTGTAAATTATTATATATTTTATGTTAAATCATTTTCCTAAAAAATAGTCAAAAATATATTAACCAAGTAGTAGGATAAACGCATGTTAGCGGGCACTTCAAATGCCTTAAAAACCTTCTTGAAGCGTAAATAAGAACCTCTTACCTATTTTCTCTATATTTATAAAGATTTAATCTGTTAAAATCTTTTTAAATTAAGTTTTCTTAATTTCTTTAAAAAATTAAGTGGTGACTCTTTTCTAAGTATTTTTCTCAAATTGTTTTATACTTGGAACATTTTAAAAGTGATTTTTCTAAAGGTTAGTAAAATTACGGCATAACATCTATCATTTAGCCTGCAGAACGTACTTCACTGTGACTTTCATAACTTCACATTATACAAACCGTCAAAACCTAAAGTAAGAACCCTATTCCTCTTCATTTCTTATACATGTATAGTTCTTTTCATGTTTGTTATTATTGTTTTAATTTTATGAGCATTTGTAAAATTACAATATTATCTTGTCACATCAAATTTATTAGAGAAATCATATTTTTGTTTGATAAGCATTTTCTTATTAGCTAAACCGAAAACCGAACCGTTAAGGACAAAAACCGATAAAAAATATCTTGTTGATCTGGTTATTGATTTAACATATTTAAAAACGAAAAACTAATCAACCAAATCGATAACAAAACCGCACCGAACTGACTGATAGACCCCC